TTGCCGGAAAGGTCATCTGATGATTGTTGCGTTAACAATAATTTGCGGCGTTGGACGTGATGCTTGTTAATGAAAAGAGCCCCTGAAAGGCGTCGGTGAAATCGTTCCCAATTTTGGGTACGCCGTTCCCATAATAAGGAACGCTTGCGGCGCCAGTGTACGAGAGCGTTCCCAAATTTGGGTTCGCGGCCCGGATGATGGACTGCTTTAGAAATAGGGGAACGATTTAAAACTACGATGGGCCTTACAATATCAAACTCTTTCCCAACAATATTGAGACAAATATCAGGCGGTTCACGGTCGTTTTATATTTTTTGGACGTCATTTAACGTTTCTTTTTCTTGTTTTAATTAATGCCTACATGGCGTTCCCATATTTGGGTTTATCGTTCCCAAACATGGGAACGAAAATGCGTTCCCGAAAATGGGTACGCTTGACCATAGTTCCGCCTACTGATTTAGGTTTCCAAGAGAGGAGAAGATGAGGGTCGCTTAGGTGAGGGCTGTCAGGTAAGATCCAGATGTGTCCTTGTTAGCTGTAATGATAAATGCAATACATTATGTAGTAATGATAAATGTAATAAATGTTATGTAATGACGAGCACAAACCAGGAGCTTTTACAGCCCAATGATCACCATAGGCAAAGATTCCATTTCTCGTCCTGAAAAGTGCCTTCTTGAGGAATATGTGCTTTGCTGAGGAATGCAGCCATGTCATCGTCAGCTAATCAACATGCTGCTAACAGCCAATGGGTTTGAATTTTACAACATGATTAATCAATGCAAGCTTCCGCGTCAAACAATATTTTCTATAGAATATTGGTTAGTTGTAAAGCAGGCGTCACACTACTTTTTGCAATGAAGGAGAGGTGCTATACCCAGAGATGCTTTCTAATTGAACCAAGCCAAAACAAACCTAACTAAACCTGACCTAGCCATACCTACAACCTAAACTCTACAACCTATGTACAACTTTTTGTTGCTTTTGTTGCTTTTTGTTGCCTCAACTTTTTGTACAACTTAGAACCTACAACCTAACCTACAGCACCTCCTTGGTTGCAAAAAGAAGTGTGACGCCTGCTTTACTACTACCAAATATAGTTCTTCTTTTATTAAAATACAGAAAATATTGTTTATATAAAGGTTTTATTTTTGTGCTGATCATAATGAGCATAACAAATCAAATCCATTGCATAAAACTAATTACAGGAAAGAGAACATGAAATCCATTAAAAGCTTATCATATTTATCACAAGTTACCTAATGAAGGTAATGCTTTGACCTGGTATTCCGTTGAGTGTAATGCCGCAGGCAGCTCTAAGGGATGTGTTGGGATGGGTCAGGAAAATATTTTTGGTTGAAGAGGTGTGTTATAGGCTACAGGCCAAATGCATACCTCTTTAACAAAAAAAAGAAAAGATGTAGGTACTCTTACCTAGCATATATTCCAGTTACTATGTACAAAAAAGACGTGCTACGAATGTTGCTAGCGAACCAGTGTAGGTTGGGTTAGTTAAGGTTTGACCATGTTCTGAAGCATTGTAAATAATCATAATTGTTCACTCTTAGCACCTCACATTGATATAAAGCCAATTAGCTACATTTTGATTGCTAGGTGAGGATGTCAACCTTCTGATTCTGGATTCTGGAGCCAAAATAACATGATACAGTGTCAGTGATACCATCTTGTTTAGAAGCTGTGGCTGTGCTGTCTGAGTCAATATCTTACCTCTAAACACAAGGCATTTTGTATGTAAAAGTCCACGTGCAAGAACAGTATGCCAGTTGTTACATTTGTTGCATCTGTCATTTACAGACGTGCAGATGCAGTTCCCAGGAGCACTTCCCAGCTCTGTTCCTGTCATTTTGAGGAGGGCAGCTGCATCCCAACACTCTTCCAGTACAACGGGTACCAGATTGCTCATTTCCGGTAAGCACTAGCCACTTAACTTCATTGTTTGAGTCCAACTCATATGCCAGGTTGCTTACCATACCAGTATATGCATAGTAATGATGCAAGTCTTGAGCCTACGGGCCCGGGCGGTGTTTCACGGGACGCTGCTACCACGCTGTTATCAAATTGCGCGAGCTGACGACTGACGTCACACTTGTGGTAGTGTTGGAGCAATGGGCCTGTTCATGTCTCCATGGAAACCCAATTTGACACGTGTAAAAGCATCGTGCTGCTATCACCGGTGAAACAGGGCCCCGGTGTCGGGCTTAAATTCGGACCCGCCGGACTTTTGCCGGGCCTAAGCTCGAGGAGGCCGGGCATATGCCGGGCTCGGCAAGGGCTTGCCTGTGTTAAAGGGACAATCCCACCTTCCAAAAAGTTAATAAATTGGCATAAAAGTGATGTACCATAAATCAGAAAGAGCGAAATTTTTAGGTTTACATTTTGCACGAAGCCACCAAAGCGATGCAGCAGGCTAGTCATATGTATTTCTTGTTGCACACTCATATGTTGGGCAAAATGTATTGATGACAAGTGGAAGAAGTGGAAAAACGGTTTTAGCCTTTATTTGTGTATTATGTGTATACCTGTCAGCGCAGTGTGGAAGTTGAAATTGTTGGTTTGGTAAATCTTCATAAAAAAACATAATAGTTGTGGTTCAGTTCAAAGTTGATTCAAATTCACAAACTCAGTTTTTGTGATGTGTTTGCAGGTTGCCTGTGCTACACCAAGCTCAGAAAGGGAAAGCGGATCACACAGCTACCATCAGCGCGCTAGAACTCCAAGGAGGATCTGCGAGCGGCGCGCCAGGCGCCGTCGGAGCAGCCCCTGGTAGCGACAGCCGCCGCGCCGTCGGAGCAGTCCCTGGGAGCCACGGCCAGCCGCTGTCGGAGCAGCCTCTGGGAGCCGGCCGGCCGCCGTCGGAGAGGCCTCTGGGAGCTTACCTGTAACTGACTGCGGCTGACGTGTGTGTCGGTGTGCGCGCGTGTGTGTGTGCGTTTCCACTGGCAGTGATAGTGACAGGTGAACGGTGTTCATGACCGATGGCCGGCGGTCTTTGTTGTTATTCTGATAATACGTATGAGACATTGTTTTAATATGTTTTGTTCTGAAACGTTTCCAAAAACTGAATCACTTCATTATCATTCTACTTTCAAGCATGTTTACCAGATAAAAGGATTTGCAAATCAAAGGAAGTAAAATTGTGTGAAAATTTACTCAGTTGCGCAGCTAGCCAACACACATTTGCTACTGTCAGGCCGCTATGGGACATGTTCAAAGTAGCTCAACGTATTGAATGACTCACTGCTCCCCCCCCCCCCCCGCCAACGTTGTCGCGCATTGGGCGCAGGCACAAGAGTGGTATCAACGACCGCCGTCTTGAGCTGCACCAGGGTCTGCTGGCTCTTCGTCATGTATGGTGCATTGTTCAGATATCCCCGCTGCACGCTGTACGCTGTACGCCGCTGTTTCGTTATAATATTTTCTGCTCGATTTGTTTGAAATATGGAAATATGTACAGACACTGGATGTGCAAAGCGTCCGTGTAGGACATCTACTTGTTTCAAACTGTCCCGGAGCATCCATGTTTCGGAAGTGCACGGCGTCGATGATGGCGAAAACGAGAGGTGCAATAATGTTGTAGCGGAACACCGGGACTGCACACAACTCACTGCAGTTGTCGACGTTTACACCGAATTATCTTGCTCAGCTCAGGTTGGCTTTGAAAACGGCAGGGTCATCGGGCGGGCTTAAAGGCGGTTAATACAGAGGACGGGACGGGATGGAGTGAAGGTTCCCGTTCAGGCGGTAAAGGGGGGGGCGTCAAAATACCGGACTGTGACCCCTCAACGTGCGGCCGCCTCCCCCCTCCCCCAACTTTCATGACAACCATGTTAAGGACGGGCGTACAACTATAAGCACATGTTGCATTTCGGATGTTGTGCCTGTAACAAATGTAAAGTTTTGCATTTTTTGACAATCAAAGCTCATTGCCTCCCAGCGAAGTAGATATTGAAACAATTTTTGAAGAGTTGATCTACCATTTGCCTATTCCGGCGACCGCCATAAAAGCCTAAAAAGCGTGTGAAATTCAATGGGCCTGAGCTGTGCTGGGTTCGGCGCCCATGGGCCCCGCTTGGGCTGGGCTGTGCTCTGTGGGTTGGCTGGCCCGTGACGAACACTGCACCCTCTAGCCCGGCATAAACTTAACATGGCCGGTTCATAGTATAAAAGTCCGGCTGAGCCTTCTTTCAGCTTAGCAGCAGCATTCTAGTATTTGCAGATACCGTGCATGTTTCATACAAGACACAATTATACCTATAGATTCGCCCATGACAACCCCGATTCGTTGTTTGCCCGCATCAATAGAACGGAACACCTATCAACTACTAGCTCCAGCATAAACGTATCAACATGGATGCTCGTATAGTCCTATTTACCTTCGTATCCATATTTGACCTAACTGCTCTTTCTGGCACAGTTCAACACAAAACCTTAGTTTGTTGTCTGGAATAGATCAGAACAATACCTATGGGTGTTGTTGGTAGGTAGTTAAAAAGTAATACCTAACGGTAACGGGTGACCTAATACACCGATCACTTCCACTCATCGGTTGCAGTGACTGAAAATGGCTTTAATGTAATTCAAAACTGCATTTATACTCCGGTTTCCAACACTTGTTCGTTGTATTTATAATTAGTGGTGGCTTCTCTTCCGTCATAAGCGCGAATCGAACCTAAAATGGGCCTGTACTTATTCAATTTTGCCGATAAAAATATATTTTTGGTACCGTTAGAAAGCTTACACACGACTGCATGTGGTGCTAGTTGTATCTTTGAAAAATCCGTCCTAGTTTAGTCAGGAGAGCTAATCAAAAAGTAGGTCCCATTGTATCCCTATGGGAGCCGAGAGCGAGTCGGCACCACAGTTACCGGGAGGTGCCCCCGCCACAACCGCACGTGCGGATCCCTCGAAAAACAGCGAGTCCGCCGGTCACGTGACCAGGCTCATTTGCCGACACTGTATTTATATACACTGTGTGTATTTCCATATGGCAAAGCTGTATTTCCTTTGTGGTGTTTATGTTTATATGTGATTTGAAGAGGTGTGATTGGTTGGTGTTGTGGTGTTTATTTTGTCTTGACAAGACATGTGATGTAAGCATCATTTCCATCGAAGAGTTGTCCGGACTAAGAGTCTGGACTTCATCTTCACATACCTATACCATATTTCATGTGGCAGCGATGAATGACTGAGGAGGTGGGATGCCTGAAGGAAGTCTTTGTGTTATTTGTGGTTGATGACTAGAAATGCTCAACGTGAAACCCAATTATGTTGATTCCAGACATTGTAATCGCAAGAATAAAGAGACAATGTTGTCATAGACAAAATGAGCCAGTGGTGCCAGAACTTGTGAGATGGAGTTACATTAAAGAGACACAAGCCTTTTGCACATCTTAGGAAATGCAGGAATTTGCTAAAGAAAATCATGTAAGGAAAGAACGCAGTACACACTGCCTTACTTGTGCCTTGGAAAATCAGACGGCCTCTGAATACTTGGATTATTTACTATTTTTATTGTTTATTTTTGCACTTTTTCCTTAAGACAACAAACCCCATCACTGACTAATTGGCTACAGTGCAGGATGGAAAGTCTTTTCCCAGTGTACTCGAGGGCAGCGCTTTTCGAGGAGCGCTGTGGACCGAAGGTTTGGACTTTGAATTGTGAAAAACGCCCGCCCGCCGCAAAACGCGAACACCGCAAAACGCGCAAAACGCACGCCCGAAACGCCAACGCAAACGTCGCAAAAAATAAGCAAACGCCCGCCCGCCGCAAACCGCAAATAAAAAAACGCAAAAACGCCGCAAACCAATAAAACCGCCCGCATCGCCCGCCCGCTAGCCGCCAACCGAAAACGCCTTAAAATCGCCCGCCCGCCGCCAAAAGCAAACACCGCAAAAAACGAGAAAGCGGCTGCCAACCGCAAACAATTTTAACACCGCAAACGACGCAAAAAAATCGCCTGCCCGCCGCCAAAGACAAACACCGCAAAAAACACAAAGCGCCCGCCCGTCTTTTCCCAGTGTACAAAGGTTTTGGCTTAGGTGTGTACATAGTTTCTGAGCACGTGAAAGTTATCGTTTGCTTCTCCTCCCCATTACGTTTCCCCTCCCTTTCCCATCCCTCCCTTTCCCTTTCCCCTCCTCCAGGCTCCAATATTCTGTCTTGTTCCATATTCCACAGCCCTTTTCACTTCTCACGTTCATATGTTTCTCCCTTATTCAGCAAACCATCTCTCATGAACTAACCAATTGCTGTCTTGCCCCTGTTCCACAGCTCTCCAGGATGGACTCTCAGAAGTTCTGCCTCAAATGGGACGGGTTCCAGGGCAGCGTCACCTCCGTGTTTGACCAGCTCCGCTCTGGAGGGGAGCTGCTGGACGTCACGCTCTGCTGTGAGGGACAGCGTGTCCGGGCCCACAGGATGATGCTGTCCGCCTGCAGTCCGTACTTCAGGGAACTACTGAAGGTGGGTGATGGGAAATGTACCTGGCGTCCTAGAGAGTGATAGGGGGCTGATGATAGTGTAAATGAATTGCAAGGTTGGCTTATAATCATGTTTATTCAATATAGTGAGAGTTGAGTTGATATAGTCAGATAGATATAATCAAAGTGAAATGGAGCTTCATCACCATGATAATACCTAGTTAATTCAGTTAAATGATTTTGAAGTAGGTAATGATATCTATTTGTAATGTAATGTCCAATGCAGAAATCCCACAATCTGCGATCAGTCTGTGCTTGTTGATCTGTTTCACTCAATGCCTATCTCGACGTGATCTACATTTGACTCATTGTTCTCACGTTTGACTCATTGTTCTCACGTTTGACTCATTGTTCTCACGTTTGACTCATTGTTCTCTATTGCCAGAGCATATCATGCCAGCAGATGGTGATCTTCCTAAAGGATACCACAGCGGCCGACCTGAGCGCTATAGTGGAGTTCATATACAAGGGGAGTGTCAACGTGTCGCAGAGCCAGCTGGCCAGCTTCATCAAGACAGCAGAGATGCTGCAGATCAGGGGCCTGAGCGGCGAGGAGGATAAGGTGGGTGTGGGGAGAGGGGAGAGAGAGGGGTGTGGGGGGGAGGGAGAGTGGAGAGGGATGGGAAGGGTGGGAGAGGGAGTCTGTGGGAAAAGTATGGATAAGGAGAGAGTGAAGAGTAGGAGGGTAGGAACATCAAAGATGTGATGGCTGAGGAGGAAGATAATGTTATTTGGAGACATGGATATTATTGGAGAAAAATGTTATTAGAAGAATATTAGGGGACTTATTCTAACTCTGTCACCTCCCTAACTGAAAACTTTTCTAGTTGTTTGTTAAATGTCTACTAGTTTTTGTTATAACTCTGATTGACTAATAGTTATTTCTTGACTAATTATCACAGAGTATCAAATTCTGATCCTGATTCTGCCCCCCTCCGCAGCCGCCGGACCCGGCCCCGGCGCCGCCCTCCCGACCGGCGCCGCCGAGACACCACCCGCTGCCGCCGCGGCTGGCCACGCCGCCACCCAAGCGGCGCAGGACCTCTGACAGCGGGGACGCGCCCCTGTCCTCGGGACCCGCACCAGCGTGGCCCCGGCCGGCGGCCTCACCGGCCCGGCGTCCCGAGACGCCCGTCGTGCTGTCGGGGTCTTCCAACCAGTCGATACCGTCTCCGAGTCCCGTGGCCATGTCGCCCGCGGCGGCTTCAGCTACGGCAGCTTCAGCTGCAGCACTGGGTTCAGCAGAAACGGGAGGAGGGGCTGAAGGAGCGCCTTCATTACCAGCATCTTCATCTACCACACCCTCTGCGACATCAGGATCTACATTCACATCATCATCGGCAGCACCGTCTTCATCATTCTCTCCATCAGTAGGAGGATCGTCAGTGCCGACAGCGCGTAGTCGTGAGACGCTAGCGAAACACGAGTCGGAGAACATTAAAGTGGAGAAGGTGGATCTCAGTGATGGGGAGGACGGCGGTAGTTTAGATGCCGCCCTGGGGCAGCTCAATGAGTACGAAGGATACGTTGGTGCGGCGTCATCTGCGCAAGGTGAGAACGGTGGGAGGGAAGGGGTTAGGAGCTCAGTGGCCGAGCGAGTTCAGTTTAGTCATGGTGGGAAGGGATGGAGGAGTGTTTGGGGCTGAATGGTCGAGAGGATTCATTTTCTTATGCATTTCATGTATTCATTATTTTACAGTTAAGCCTGTGTTACTCTTTCTTGTTTTTGCAATAAGTCATCAATTCATTATCATACATTTAGTTTTATTTGTAATTTGTAAGCCTCCATCGTATTTTCCGGTATTTTATTATTATGTAACGGTTAAAGTTCTTTCAATTTGTGAGTAATAGTGTATAAAAACGACGTGTTCACTTCAATATACACCCTATTTTTATGTCACGTCCCGTTCTCTGCTCACCAGCCGCCTAGATATACCTCCTGTAACCCCCACGCCCCCCCCCCCCCCTATCCCGCCCCACAGGCGTCTCATTCGCCGCCGGCCACCAGTACGGGCCTCTCCCCACCGGCCTACCGGGCGCCTCTCACCACCCACCACATGGAGCACCAATGGAGGACGGATCAGCACCAGGTTAGAACGGCAGACGGGGCAGCGGCGGTCGGGACGGTGGGGGATACATTGTGGTGCGTGTGAGGCAGTTGGATGTTGGAAAATTGATTTGGAGGAGAATCAAGCGCATCTGAACAGAAGACATACTGTGGCCGTAGTCTTGCGTTGCTAAGGCATCTACTAATGTTGACCCTCACGATCACATAAATTCATTGAAAGTAAGACATTTTCTCGGGTCAGTTACATCAGTGCACAATGTTCTGGTCTGTTCCATACCTAAATTATGGTAAAAAATTTCGGTGGTGCTGTTCTACACTTGGCTGGCATTTCGACTGTAGCAGCGTCCTCTGGCCATATTCCGGAGACTTCGTAACTATAGTGTGAGCGGTGCACCACAGAGGTCACCAGCGTCCATTAGCATTTACCGCAGCTTTGGCGGCCTCCTGATAACGATCACTCTATTATCACTCTAATATTCAAATATCACCGCTCATAATAATCGTTGATCTTTGTTGCCGGTTATGCCATGTAGTGGGAACCCCGCTCACGGCTGGCTGCGTTTCCGACCGATGCTTTATAGTAAGCACGCCCACCACAATGTATCGACTCACTGTCCTGGCTTTTGAGGGACTCGAAGCATCTGATTTCATTTGTAATATCTTCACTCATCATAAGAACAACCATACTGTTATTACGAAGCGAGCGTAGTCTTTCCTTAGATTAACGGAAATTTCTGAGTATGAGCGGCCGGCCGGCCGGCCGGCCGTGCGGACGCTTTTGCGAGGCTTATATCTCAGCAACCACTTGACCGATTTACATGCGGTAATTTTTGTAGGGTAGCTTCATTCCTTCTACCAAGTATTGGACTATTCCCGATGCATGTGGGTGACCCCTTATGCACGTGCCACGTGCAAAACGAAGAGGTGTCGGTTTTGCAATTGTTGCAATATCTCGGTAACTACTTGGCCGATTGCGCTCAAAGTTGGCATGTAGATAGGCACCCACTAGGCACTGCATATCCATGTGCCAGAGTTGGGGTGCTGCTGCACGTGCGCACGTGCAGGGGTCGTTTCCAGATCTCGAGAACGGCTCGACCGATTGCGCTCAAATTTGGTACACAGTTAGGGACCGGTTAGTAGGGTGCCGTGCACAAGTCAGTTGGGACCCATTTTGCACGTGCGCACGTGCAGGGTGCCGCTTCCAGATCTCGAGAACGGCTGGGCCGATTGCGCCCAAATTTGGCACATCGCTAGAGACCGGTTAGTAGGGTGCCGTGCACAAGTCAGTTGGAGGTACCCCCTCGAAATTCCGCACGTGCAAGGCTCACCCTCTCGCTCGCTCCGTTAGTCGCCCCAAAAGGCGTTATACTGGTTATATACGTTTTGCTGGAATGTTTGGAATTGATGGATTAAAATTTTCCCATACCTGCTACATTGCATGATTAAATCGAGACATCCAGGCATTTTAATGGCACGTGCACTGTACCACACTTTTCAAAGTTTAATGCAGTGCTTTAAGATTGCCAGCCGTGTGGTTCAAGGGGTGTTGTTAAACGCGTTGAACCACACGGCTGCTGACGTCACTATCAATTATAGTTGTGAGCTTTTTGGCAGGTATGGGAAACACCTTCCAGCCCTAAGGCCGGGAATTCAATAAATGTCACCTCGCTTTTAAAGCACCTCGGGCCTAACGGCCCTCGGAGTTTTCGCTAAAAAAACCTCGGTGACATTTATTGAATCATCCCGGCCCCGGGCAGGAATATATTGAATGGACCCACATTATTGCCTGTCCCGTAGCTCAGTTGGTAGAGCTTCGGACTCCCGGTAGTGATAGCCCGGGTTCGAGACGCTCCGGCGCTCGATATTAGAGACTCCTGACGGGGATGGCCTGCAGTTGGTGGGAGCAGCCACAGCCAGTTGAAGTCAGTTGAGTGGGACAGGCGGTGTCCGGCTTTGAAGGGCGCGTTAAACTCTGGCATCTATGTAAATTCTCTCGTTACCCGGAATTGCGCGATCGGACGGTAGGGGTCGGGGTCTACGCGACAAGCTCTGCTTAGCGTGGACTCCGGCTCTGTCAATCCGTCCATTCAAAGATTCGAGCTAAATATATTAAAAAAAGTATGAACAACTCAGAGCTGATGCTGAACAGAGGCCTCTTGCACCAACCTACCTACCTAGTTAAATTCAGATTTTACCTAGATTCTCTTGCACCAAACTACCTACCAGAAAACGCTACCGTGTAAATTTACATAGAAATTCTACCGAGCGGCGTAAGAACTTACCAATTGTTAAAGCCCGACCGGCTGTTTTCGTCTTGCACCGAAAGCCGAAAAGAAGTACTCGCGGAGGAATTTTTGACGATTTGACGGTAAACGCGGGCTTCCAAAATAACTAGCAAAACCTTAGGTAAAATGATTCAATTAGTAACAATAGGCACCATACATGATAATCCACGGGTACTTTTATGTAAATTAGGCATTACAAAATGTTTAGGCAATGATAAATCAATGTTTTTGTGAGTG